AGGCACTTTTTCCCCCTCCTTTTGGGGGGAAAAAAGTGCGTCTTATGGAGCGAAAAATACGGTAACTGACCTGTTTTGTTCTCTCTGGAGAAGAGGAGATTAAGGGGGAACATGATCACTATGTATAAATACATAAATGGTCCATATAAAGAGCTTGGTGCCAAATTATTCACTTTAAGGTCACTGGAAAGGACAAGGGGGCACTCTTTGCGTCTGGAGGAAAAGAAGTTTAACCTTTGCATATGGAAAGGATTCTTTACAGTGCAGAGCTGTGCACATGTGGAACAGACTCTCCCAGGAGCTAGTTCTAGATAGCTCAGGTAACTGTTTAAAAAAAAATCTGAATGTATTCCTAAATGCACAGAATATTACTGAATATTGAGTTCTTATATGTATATTAAGCATCAGAGATTGTTGATCCAGGGAATATCCAGTTGCCTATGGGATCAGGGAGGAAATTTTCCCCTGGTTAGTGCAAATTGAACTATGCTTAATAGGGGGTGTTGCCTTCCCCTGGAATAACACTGGGTAACTGTGCGTATAGCGTTCTATTTTAGGTTTTTCTTCTTTCCTTTTTTTTTTCTCCTCCTTCTCTTATCTCTATATGTTGAACTCAACATGACTAACTATGTAACTTTACCCTGAATGTGATTGTAACATGAAACATGGTCAGATAAGCAAATTTACCCTTTAACTGCCACCAATGTGTGTCATAGGTCGCTGGAAGTGGAGTCCTTTAACCGCTTGAAGACAGGTGTTTAGATCCCCTACCTGGCCAGGCCATCTTCATACAAGCGATCCGCCGGCTCTATAGCCGGCGGATCGCTTGTATATTAACGGGCATCGCTGCCTCTTTTCAAATAGCGGGGATCTCCCGCTCGCGCGCGCCGCGCCCGAGCGGGCGGATGTAACAGGACGTGTATACACGCCCAGTTACATCCAAGAAGCTCCCGGCAGGCCGTGTATACACAGCGGCTGGCCGGGAGGTAGTTAAACAGATAGCTGCCAGGAGTGTTTACATGTCTAAGGCCCCATTCACACTAAGCGACACTTACCTTGAGCGGATCCGACCTTCACCATCGGGCTGCATGCAAAAATAGAACAATTGTGCGACATCCGCGGGAAACAGGGTCCTGCACAAGCGACGAGCGACATGGAACTGTACAATAGAACAGCTCAATTAAAAATCATTGGACGGCGACTTCTCGCGATATTGCGGCGGAAAATGCCCAGTGTGAATGGGCACTAAAGCTAGCTGTCGCCTTGACATTGGAAGCAATTCTGGTGGCTGACCTGCCACCAGATCGCTTCCACAGGGCAGTGTAGTAGTGCAATTCAGCCCCCCCCCCCTCGTTTGGCAACCCCGCCTAGCTTCTTGGGCTCCGCTGCCCCTCCTGCAAGTGTCGGCAGGAAGTGTGAAAGGAGACTGGTGAACGTCCCTTGGCCGATCTCTTCCCTGAGCAGGGCCGGAAACAACACTGATTGCATCACGTCCAGTCCCTCTGCTGTCATTCCCTGGCTGCAGGAGCCGGGGAAGAAGCTATTGAAGCCCAATCTGCACTCCAATAGCTTCTTTGGAGTTCAAAGGCTACACTAGGGCTAAATGTTAATTATAGAGAGCCTGTCATATCCAGTGTGCTAACACATAGAGGTTTTGTAAGTCCCGCCTTATGTGTTAAATAAAAAAAAGTAAAGGCGCCCCAGCGAGCACTTGCATATTAACATAAACACACGTGGCCGCACCTATGTACAAAAACGATTGCGCTACACATATTGGGTATTGCCGCATGCGCCAGATTGGTAGCAATAATTCTAGGGCCACTATTCATGGATATCTCTAAACTAATGACCTGTATGGGGTTTTAAAGCTTTGCTTTTGGACAATTTGGGGTACTGTATTTTGTCGCTCTTTCACAGACGCACACAATTTTTCACCTGGGCATGTTGGGTTTCTATTTACTTGTCGTAACCTCATCTTTGGCTATTATATTGTGTTTTTGGGCACTAAAAATAACTCAAGTGTATTTTTTACTAAAGTTGTGGGTTTGAAAAAGAGTTGTGCTAATATTGTGCGATGTAAAAACTTGCAACTGCCACCATTTTATTCTACAGGGTTTCAGAATATATATATGACAATTTGGGAGGTGTTAAGTAATTTATAGGCCTAAAATGTGGATTATAGCGTGTGCAAAAAAAAAAGCAAAACCGCCTTGGCAGCAAAAGGGTTAAAGTAGGGGTGGCCACTTCCAGCCCCCCAGCTGTTGTGGAACTACAAGTCACACGAGGCATTGCAAAACTGTTCGATACATGCATGACTCCCAGAGGCAGAGGCATGATGGGATTTGTCATTCAAGCACAGATGGAGGGCCGGAGTTGCCCACCCATGCTTTAAAAGACATGGAGACTGCCACTGCTGACCTTCCAAAATGCTAGTTGTCTGGCTGTCTCTGGTGTAAAGTACAGTAAACTCCCTGTTATCCGGCATCTACAGGGATTGGTAGATTCCAGATAAATGTTGTTTCTGGTTGCTGGAGAGTTATTAAAAATAGGTCTAGCTAATGACATACACCATACTCTACCATATCATAACAAACTCTGTCTTGACTGCATATTAATATTGAAATGCAGTAATCAAAAGCAAATTAAGACAAATGGACACACTTAAAACAAATTAGGACAAATAGGCACACAATCGTTTCCAGGATAATACATGCCGTAGATCAGCGAGTACACAGGGGATTTTTTCTGGTTAGTTGAATACTAGTTTACTGTATATATGTATATGTGTGTGTATAATATTATATATATATATATATA